TCATTAGAAATGAGCACAAATTATGAAATATTGTGAAAAATGATACATCAAATGGAATGGGCAAAGCGAATCAATTAGAGAAACTTCATACTGCATATTCACACATAGGAGAATAAAACATCCTGATTTCAGAGCGCAGTCTATAATACCAATTAAAAAGCAATTGGTAGGCTTCTGAAAAGTTATATATCAATTTACTGGGCTTTCCCCCCCTAAGACTCATGGTGTAATTTATAGCTTAGCTATTTGATTTCTAAAAAATAAAGCCTCTAGTAAAGTACTGTTCTGAGCAAAAATAACCTTTGAAAGCAATGACAATGCTGTCAACATAATTCTTTGTAGGATTTGTTTCAAAACATGTATCCAAAATGCCAGAAAGAAAAGAACCATAGGATGTCTACTTTGGAAATGCACTACATGCACTGATTAACAGTAGACAACAGGAGATGCATAAGTGCTAATCAGAAGGAATTATTGCCATTCCAAGCGTAAACCCTGATAATTCTGCCCACAGTGTTAAGAGGCTTTTATATTTTGTAACAGAAATTTAATTATGTATAGCAGGCACTGTTACACAATCTAAGTATTTACAACACCTGATATTATAAGAGAAAACTGAACATTCATTATAGACACTATGCTTTGCTAAGTAACAGCACTGTGCAAAAAAACAGAAACTGTGCTTTGTTGCAGACTTGAAACATACTCTCTTTGGAAGTTTTTGCAAATATTTCTCAGAGTGATATGATTTTGCAGAACCTAATAGGAAAATTTGAGTTCTTTCAGGTTTTGAATAAACAAAATCCAGGAAGGTCATACAGAGAGGTCAAGGCCAGTACAACTCTTCCAATATTAATCTGACCATTAATTTCCCCAGAATCTTCATTTCCCTACATCCCACTGGTTACCAATGCCACTACTGGTGTGCTTAGTTTTTGCTCACTGTCCCCACGGAACATGCATGTTTTGATCTGTCTCCATACATGTTTCAGTCTGGATATGGACTACAAGCTTCTGTTAATAAGCACAAACTGAGCTGTGGTGGCGCAGTGGTTAAAATGTAGTACTGCAGGCTACTTCTGCTGACTGCTGGCTGCCAGCAGTTTTCGGCAGTTCGGTTTTCATTGGCTCAGGGTTGACTCAGCCTTCCAACCTTCTGAGATCGGTAAAATGAGGACCCAGATTGTTGGGGGCAATATGCTGACTTTGTAAACCGCTTAGAGAGGGCTGTAAAGCACTGTGAAGCAGTATATAAGTCTAAGTGCTATTGCTAAATAATATCTTATTCTTTCTTGACATCATTTTAAAAGAAAAAAATAAATGAGTTCATTTCAAATAAGATGAATAAGATTTTCAGAATGTACACCTATTTTCTTGAGGAAACAATGATATCCTAGAACAGCTGAGGTAAATTATACTATGACTAGATTTTACTCCGTCTCCCCAATTCTGGGAGCCATTGGCTTTGGTCTAGATTTGAAATGCTTTTTGATGCTCAAGATGCTGCTTTCTTGTCTGTTAAAAATTGTCATATTTTCCTTCATTTCTGCTAAGTCCTAAGAAAAACAGGATACAGATTGTTTGGGAGCAAGCTGTGCTATCATATGAGTACTGGTAAGCCAATGTATAAAAAAGCAGTTGGATGGGAAGGCACTACTTACAAAGAAAATGTGGGTAATCAAACAAGCTTCGTGTTTCCCATACTTCCCCTTCCAGTAGATGTTTCTTCATTGACCACATTGAAGACTTTAATTAATCAAGTATGGAAAAAATAGCTGGGAGATGGGTATATATTATCATTGTACTACATAAACAAACATTAACTGTTTTGTTTTTGTTTTGCTTTTAAAATTTTTCTCTTCTTATCAGGTCCCTACGTTGTGGGCCAAATCAGTATTCTTTAACAAAATAGGTTAAGAAACTGGTCAATGTGCCAGACATTTCTTTTCAGCATCTCTACTCAAATGCTATATAAAAAATAAAGATATTAAGGAGATGGACTCAGGTGGCATAGAAGCAGAAGTGTTTCTGCAAGAGAAACATAAGAATTGGAGGATGGATACTTAAATTCCAATGAACATGATAGATGAGCCAGAAAAACATTTTTAAATTTCATTTTCTCAATATTTTCATTTTATGTTTGATAAAACATTTCAGTCCTTTTGATATTTCTAATTCCAGCAGTCAATTTGTTATTTGCAATCACTAGATTATGCTAACAAAACTCCTAAGAATTTTCTTCACACACTGAATGAAGCTTGATTTTGACTTTTCCCCACTTTTTCACAAACCTTGAAATAAATCTGAACAATTGTTCGTGCCTAATGAAGGTCCAGGCTTGCTTTATCCTTCTTCTGAGTAATCACACCTTCCAATTTATTATTCCTTTCTTCTTTGGAAGAACTGTGAAGCTGAAAGCGTAAACTTTGGAACTATATTTTAACTACGAAAAACTGAGTTTTGTGAAAAATAAATAATAAAAATAGGGAATATATTATGTATTTCTGACTGCTGTGGTACATGTTGGTTTGATTCAAGAGGAAATTAGAGCTCCTGAAACATTCTAAACATGCCCCAAAAATGATTTTTACCCTTAATAAATTAAACATGTATATATTTAAGACTAAATAATTGGCAACTCTTTATGAGGATTTAAATGCTGGTAGGACCCTGTAAGCATATGCCTCAGTACAGTCACCCCGAGAACAATGGAATCCTATATAAATATGGCTTCTTGCTGATGTACTTAGCAGAAAGGTCAAAACTTGAACCACACTGCTAACAAACTGTAAAATGATCCTGAGTAGAAAATCCTTTTGTTCAAGTCCTATAAGAGAATTTAGTTTCAGATATTAGAATTGTACACCTCCAGTGTCATTTAAAGAAAAAAAAATACACTAACAGGAGAATTAAAAGACATAATTTTAAAAAATGAAAGTGAAATATAAGAACTGCCTTGCTAAAAAAAAAAAAAAAGAATACCAGCATAGTATTCAGTTTTCAATAGTAATCAGCTAGATCAGGGCGTTTCAACCTTTTCACCCATTGTGCCACTTTTAGGATATGGCAACATCCGAGTACCACCAGTCGCCTAACAAGGTGTCAAAAACCTGATGACCCCCCCCCCCAAAAAAGGAAAAAAGTGATGAAGTACAGGTAGTCCTCGACTTACAACAGTTTGCTTAGTGACTGTTTGAAGTTACAATGGCACTGAAAAAAGTGCCCCCAAGCCACAGCCACGCAAGACACCTGCCCGCCCGCCCGGCAGCGCTCTTCGTCCTGTCTGTTTTCATTGTTGTGAGCATTTCTGTTGAGGATTGGCAGCGGGGGTGCGGTGGGAGGTGTTTGGTTTTTATTTCCTCCGTCTGCTGGATGGTTGCAGCAGGTTTTGGTCACTTCACATGACCCTGGGACACTGTGACTGTCATAAATATGAAACAGTTGCCAAGCATCTGAATGTAAATCACAAGACCCTGGAGATGCTGCAACATTCCAGCTGATCGGCGCTTCTTCTGGGCTCAGCAGAAGCGCCAGGATCAACACCGAGCTCCAGCTGGAACCTGGCGCTGATCCTGGCGCTTCCGCTGAGCCCTGACAGCCCTGCAGCTTCAGCTATCTCTCACTCAGGCTTGTGCGGTGCTACCACCAGTTCAACTCATTCCCCTCCCCCGCTACCACTTTTCTAGAAAGGTCGCGTACCACCTGCCAGGTGCCAATGTACCACAGGTGGTACCCGTACCACTGGTTGAAAAGCCCTGAGCTAGATCAGTGGTGGCGAACCTATGGCATGGGTGCCAGAGGCGGCACTCAGAGCCCTCTCTGTGGGCACGCGCGCCATCACCCCAGACCTAGGCCTTCAGCTAGGTTTTATAAAACCTTTTCGCTTTAGGCCTCCATCGCCGTGTGAAAAAAAAAAAAAGGTTCAATCAGTCAATTTCAACTTCTCGTGGGAAAAAAAAAGATCTTGCAAAGTTGGAATTGATTGATTGAACTTTTTAGTCCCACCCAGTCTGCCATTACCACCACAGCCACGCCCACCCAATAGGCCACACCCACCCAATGGGCCACATCTACCCAGCACTCGACGATGCATAAGTGGGTTTTGGGTTACAGTTTGGGCACTCAGTCTCTAAAAGGTTCGCCATCACTGAGCTCGATGTTTTCCAGTGCTAAGAAACAGGGTACAATGATAATATTTCTTCCTTGTCCCATCATTCCATCTTTAGAAGTATGTGGAATTTAAATTATCATCAAACCAATCAACCTCTGCCATAGTCTGATATTCAACTATAAAAATCATTAAAAAAGGAATGAGGGAGAATTAGGTTAGAAGAGAGGTAGTATTAAATTTGGTAGTTTTATTTAAAATGCCCATAAAATGTTATAAAACAGATAATCTAGCACAAGTAATACTAAAAATATATTTACAAGCTTTTGGCTCATTAACCAATACTTACTGAAAGAAGAAATTAAAGTGAAACAAAAGTCTAGTTTTAGACATGTTTGCTCAGAAATAAATTCCCATGGATCAACCTCTAAAACAGGGTGCAATAGCTGCTGCCCAAAACATTGGTCTTAGGAAAAGGTCACTTGAGTTGCTGGTTGTTATAGTATCATACGTGAACCCCCCCAGCATAAGTATACCTAGCAGGTCAAATTGTAGATAAATGCTTCAAAATGCTATATAAACCCCAATAGTGGTTCTTAACGAACTCAGATCAAGGGGATTATCCATTAGTAGTTTTTAAAAGAACATGCTGTGCTTTAGCAAGATGGAGTATAGACTTCTACCCTGTGAAGCCTGACCTTGCACAGTAGTAGGGGTAGAATCTCTATTCAAAGCCATCGCTGTAATGTTTTCTATGTACAATAGTATTCTCTGGTATGCTGACAGTTCGATTAAAATTCACAGAGAGCTGAGAGACTCATGCTGAAGCAAAGAGCTTTCAATTCTGAAGCTCTGCAGTAAATTACTTCTCCAACTGCGCAACCATACTTACATCAATATCCTCTTGGGTAAAACTTTCTGGATCTTCTCCCATCATGTTAGCTAAATGTCTCTTTCCTATGTTGAACTCTTCAATCTGTTTTTTAATAAAAGATTCTGTGTATTGTTTAGGTCCTGGAGGAACATTACTTTTCTTCTGCGATGCTGAAGTGGTAATGCAGATTAGCCTTCCCATCTAGAAGAAAAAGCACAACGAAGCTTTTAAAAACAGTAACATTCATTAATATCTGAAGATACATGATACAACAATTCTGCTAAAGTTAAACAAGCCTTGGCTTCATTAGTACCTGCATGAGACTTTATCTGAGTTTTTATATATCGCTCTGATTTGATGATGAAACAAAGAATATAATTAATACATTGTGCACACACACATGCATACCGATGCACCTCACATACAGATAAGGGAAACCACAGGCAGACACTGTGGAGATAAAGGATCACAAGTAACATTTTGGAGGGTTGAAGGAGATAAAGTTTTGAAGTGACTTTTTTTTAAAAGCTTCATGTCTTTTTTAAACTACATGTTTTGTCTTTTATCTTTTTATCTCAAAAATCAAATAACTTAGTATTACCATATCTAGACTGCAAAAATCTAGATAGTCTACATGGCCTAAAACAACTGTTGCTAATTGCTGCCATTTAATAGTTATTTGGATTTTTGCTACCGAAACAGGGTTACCTTTTTTGTCTCCTGTCATTGTGGACACAGGAATTCCCAACATCCATAAAATAGGGTTTGGAAGCTCTAAGTTGTCCACCCGAGGTCTAGACCAAAGAAATTTTACTTTGAGTTGGGAAGCTTATAAATCAAATAAATAAATACCAAAATCCACAAGTGAGCAATGTTTTTACTATATTAATAACAATCAAAATATCACAAAGTATACGTGGGGCAAAATTCATCTAACCACCGCTTGCTTAACAATGGAAATTTGTGGTCAATGGTGGTCATAAGTCAAAGTCATGCCAGTTGCAAAGTGCCTGAATTTTGATTACGTGGCCGGGGGTGGGGAGGAATCGCTGTAATGGTCCAGTGGTTGCAATTTACTTTTAGTGTTGAAATCTCAATCACTAAACAAATAGTTGCAAGTCAAGAAATACCCATGTCTCTTATCTTCCCTCACTGTCAAACCTCATAAAACAATCTATTCAGAAGAGAATCTGTTTGCACCTCCCCCCCCCCCCC